GCTCCTTCCACCTCTGCCTGCCCGCGCAGCCCGCGGGGGGCGGCCGGGCCCCGTGGGAAACTCCCGGGGGCCGGACGCAGTCTTGTTTCTCCGCTTGCCCGCCCCACCGCGCGGCTGGGGCAGCAGCCTCGCCTCCTGAGGCAGCCGCTTGCTGCCAAACTTGAAGCCTTTCGGAGGCAGCGCCGGGGCGGGGCGGGTATAGATGGGCAACTGCTCAGCAGGCGTTGAGCATTAGAAACAAAAAAGAGGATGAAATTAGGCGCAGTTATACGAGAAGCTCCTTGGTCCCCATCAGTCTCGAGCCAGGCCCTGAGCGGCTCCGGCTGGGGAAGTCCTGGACAGTCCCCAGAGTGCCGGGTGTGTGCTGTGCCCGTCCAGGGCTTGGGGGGAGCGAAGCAGGCAATGGTGTGTGGGGGCGCCTCGCGCGTGGTGTTGCGACGTGGCTTTGCATGGGGTGGGTTGGCTCGGGAGGATCCTGCCTCAGGCAGGGGGGTCGGTTCAGGTCAGCGTTTCTCACCCTGCGTGGCATGGCCCCCCCAAAAGTGGGCGGCAAGGCTAGATGAAAGGGCGGCAAACAAGTTTGAAAAACGGCTCGGCTGACTTTCAAAAGGGATTCTCCTTTAAAGGAGAAAAATGTGGCTTTGCCCTTGCAGGCTGCTCCCATTCCAGCCTGTGAGGGGCTGCTTGCCCCCTCCCTGCCCCAAACCCTGCTTGCCGTCTCCCCCCACATGCTGGGGGGCTGGGGCCTGGAGCAATGGGTCAGCAGTAAGGGACACTGGGTTGGGACTGGCCATTGATGTTCAGTGGGTCCTGGTGCAAAAAAAGGTTGAGAGCCAGTGGGCTAGATCAAGGTTTCTCAACTGCTGGGTTGCGAAGGTCCTCTAGGTGGGACTCGGGTTGTGGCAGCAAAACCGGAGGTGCCACAGTAGGACTTCCAGTTTTGCTTTGGCACGCTTCAGTCGACATCCCCCCCTCCCCCCCGCTCTTCGACTGGCCTCTGTGGGACACCCCACACACACACACGCACCCTCACTCAGCAGCTAGTGGGACCAAGATGTTTTGACCTTACATACGTGGGACATAAGGTACAAAAGTTTGAGAACCGCCAATCTAGATAGCCTCTCAAGGTCCCTTCCTGTCCTATTTCTCTATGATTCTATGATGAGGGTGTCAAGGAAACACCAGGAGTGGAGAGAAGACGTTAGCCAACAACAGGCAAGAAAATGCCAAGGAGGCAGGAAGGCACAGGGAGAGGCTTGGGGCTGACAGGCTCAGGGCTGCTTTTTACAACTGTTTCCCAGCGTTGCCTCCACTTCCCCAGCCTCTGGCTACTCAAATCAAAGTTTCTGCAGGGTTTCCGCCAAGCAGCACCTCCCAGTGTCCCTGAAGAATGGACGCCTGGCCCTGCAGCTGTGTGCATTAAGCTGCGGGGGTTTACCCAGTGTTCCCCCCATTATTATTTAATACAGCCCTCTTCCATCTCAAAGATGTTCAGTGCCTTAAAGCCTCTTGCAGGTGATCCATAGAGGGCTCTTGTGAAGCCTGTCCCTTAGGGTCACCAACCTCCCTGCTGCTTTTACTTGGATACCATTGCATGTGCATGTCATCACCCCCGAGAGCCCAAATGGTAGAGATGGAGGAGCAGGGCGTTATGTACAGAATATTAAATCTCGGAAGGGCCTCCCCAAAACCATTATAGGATCATACTCATCTTTGGGAACACTGGAAAAGCAAAAGGTCTTTGAATGATAGAGATCCTGTGTATCCTTGGATTGTACTGAACTTTTCTAAGTCTGCAGCTCAGAGCACAGCAACCTAGTGCCTAAGACTTCCAAGGCTCTGCTGCCAAAAAAAAAAGATGGGAGCTCTTCATTCCAGCCTGAATATAATTTATATGCCTGTCCAAACAATCCTTTACACAATATACCACAGTAACAGGATTGTTGGACAGAGCACAGCAGGCATTGGATCCAGCATGTGGGGGTGGGGAGTGTCCATGCGCCAGTCCCATGCCATTCATTTGGCCCATAGACTGGCCCCAGGCCACTCATCTAGCCCGTGAGGCTAGACAAGTTTGACATCCCTCATATAAAGCATTGGTAAGACGCTGTTCAGAACATTATGTGCAGTTCTGTTCACCAACATTTGCAAAAGTTTAACTTAGAAGCATGTACAAAGAAGGGCCAGGAAGATGATTACAGTAGTGCAGACTTTGCCTTATGAAAATGGGTTACAGGAGCTTGGCTGATTTAAGAGGTGATCTGATTATTTTTCACAAACATTTGTGGGGTGAATATTAGGGAGGGAAATGGTATCCGGGTTGTAGCTGTATTGGTCAAGAGGAAAAGGCAATCAGGACTTGTAGTAAAGATAATATCTTTTATTAGACCAAGAAGATTTTTGCAAAAAAAAAATTCTTTAATTGCAAGCTTTCGGGCATGAACACCCTTCATCAGGCATTGGAGAAAAAAGGAGGGAGAAGAGTTTTTTAGGTTAAAAAGGAACACCAGCACAAGGTCAAATGGATACAAACTGGTCCTGCGCAAATTTAGACTGGAAATCAGATTTTTACTATCATAGCTGTAAATTTTTGGAATGGTCTTCAAAGAAGACAAGAGAAATAGTTACAGTCATACAGGCACAAGTAGCTCTTTCGCTCCACCTAAAATGCTTGAGAGGTTGAACATTTTCCTCAAAGAGGCAGAGATGACTACTGCCTGGAACAGAAGAGGTCCAGTAGGAACAAAACAGCTTGGGGACAAGCCCTAGCTAAATTTGACAATCTGTTAATTTTAAACCAAGAGCCAACTCTTAGGAAAGGGCTGAACTGAACTACTCACACACACACACACACACACACACACACACACACACACACACAGCTTGTGTCCTCCCTCACACAAACATTATACGCACACATGCACAGCTTGTGTCCTCCCTGAGGAAGCAGTCCTGAGGAAGAGAAATAGGAGGGTGGATGTCAGTGTGTTGGCAGAGTTCCTTCTGTTGCTCAGCTGGTTAAAAATAGTAAATGTGCTGGTAGTATGAATTATGATATATTTTACCATATCACCAGAAGATGTCAGGTAACTCAGTGTGACTCATAATAGGTTTACAATTTGACATGCAATAATCACAACGTATCAGGAAAGGTAATTTAGGAGTTCACTTGTGTCACCAGGCAGCCACTTCCAAAATAACTTTCACTTCAAGAAAGTCACATTGTCACAGACTCTGTTATCAGAGGGAAGCACAGAGGTGGAGGGTTGTAACAACACATAATAATAACAGTAATTGTGAAGACGACTTGGGTTACGCAACCTGAAAGCTACTCTATTGTATGCTTTAGAAGACAAATGCAGATGCTGTGAATATGAATACAGCAATCACAAATGGCCTAGCAGCTTTAGCACCAACATGGAAATCTTTTTACTATATAAAACGCAAAAGGATTCTAATCCATTGTGTTCCATATACCTTACCTGAACCAGGCCTGAAAGAGAAAGCAAGGGCACAGCATGTAGGAAAACACATGACTGTTCTGGTGATAGATTTAGTTTTCCGGTCACTGACTGTGAGGCCTGAGATACCATGATGATGCATGTGGTATAAAATCCCAGATAGATTGGATTAGACACTTCAGATTCTGCACACCATGCTGAGCAATGCCTTTTAGAAAATATTTGTGCTGACTCCCTTGGGATATATAGAAAAACAGAAAGAACCCCCTAAGACTGCAGGGACTTTGCATTAAAAGGGAACTATTTAAGTATTGAATGTCAATATGAAAGCTGTCAGAATTTATCTATATTCATATTTTATCAATTCTTATGCCCAAACACATGACAAGTAAATGTTCAATGTACTTTGCATAATTTTGAACAATACAGTGGAGTTTTCAATTATGTGATTCAGTGAGTCCCTAAAATGTAAAATATGGTACGATCTAAAATAGCCACTTGGCTCTTATTATTAGCAGTCCATAATGAATTGATCTTGTCTTTAAAAAAAAGAACCAAATTAATTAGAATGTTTAAAAGAAGGGGCGTGCCAAAAAGTATGGAACATTATTAGTAAATCACCTACTATTCTTACCATTTTCTGTTCCATTACATACTAAAAACACCTGAGTTTTCAGTCTCACATGTAAAATAAATACTACATCTTTTCAACCTCTACAGCTACCCTTTTGGCCAATAAATCTATTGATAAATACAGAAAAAATTACAAAACCATACATGTTACCCAGGTCAAGTAGGATGAAGAGCTGCTTAACTCGTTTTAAACAAAATTTAGGACCAGACTATGAACCCTTTACAAGCAAATCCATTTACATCAATGGAATTACTCATGTGAGTAATTGCTCACTACAGTGAGCAATGAGTTCACAATCTGGTGTTTAATTTATAGGCA